CCCCTATTTAAAGGCAGAAAGTCTTTTAAGATGGTGGTCTGCTGGGTTTCAGGGTGTGTCTGTTTTTGTTTGTTTGTTTGTTTGTTTGTTTTGAGACAGGGTCTTGCTGTGTTGCTCAGGCTGGAGTGCAGTGGTGAAATCTTGGCTCACTACAACCTCCACCTCCTGGGCTCAAGCGATTCTCATGCCTCAGCATCCTGAATAGCTGGGACAACAGGTGCATGCCACTATGCCTGGCTAATTTTTGTATTTTTTGTTGAAATGGGGTTTTACCATGTTGCCCAGGCTGAAAATGTCTATGTTTAACTGCATCTTATAAACCATCAACAAGTTTTTCTACTAAAAATTAGAATGGTTCATAACATAACGTATTGTTACTACTGTCAGATGAGCATCCTTGAATGTAACATGACTGCCTCTTTTTTGCTTTTCCTAGAAGTTTTTTTTTGCTGGTTAATCATCTGTTGACTTACATGGGGGAAGTAGCACCCTTGCATTTAAAAAATGAAATTTATGGGATTACAAATGGAATATAAACAATTTTTTAAAAGATTTTCAGTTCTCTCTCAAAATTACCTATTTATTATTTTATATATTTGAACATATTGAGCACAGTTATTTTAAAGTTCAGTTAGTCCCTTATACAGAGCCTCCATGAGTCTGTTTCTAGTGTCTGTTGTTTCTCTTGGTTTTTATTAGTTTTGTCCTGTCTCCTCCCATATTTGGCAGGTTTTTTTGTTGAGTACCACACATTATATCTGCAAACCTGTACAAGTAATTTCAGGTCTAGGATGAAGTTATCTTCTTCCGTGATGATTTATTTATGTCTTGCAGGTGGCTGGGGATGCAGTGAGCCAGATCTCTTTAATCTACTTGTAGGGAATGAGATGATTTGAGTCACTTTAAGGGCTGATCTAATTCTAGTTCATTCATATTCACAGGGTGAAGCCCTCTGGGGCCCCAATCCAAAGCATAAAACATTTGCCAGGTAGCCTTCCTGTTGGTGGGGTTTGCAGTGTCTTCTGGAATCAGCAGATATCCTACAGAGAACGTAGCCCCAGATGCCATGCATATGTCTCTTGAGTTGCCCTCTTTTCCCAGATCTTGACCTTATAATTCTTCACTGCTTTGTTTCCTTCCCAATACCCTCAGTTAGACTTAATATATTAATATATTACATATATTTGTGCTCAGTTAGACAAATATATATAGAGTACATACATTTACTAAATATTGCATATATAATTTAGTAAATATGTATGTATTTAAAGTTATAGATATATTTATATAAAACTTTAAAAGCTGTTCAAAATGCCCCCCAGACACAAATTTTGAGCAGCTTTTTAAGTTGTCCTGAATGGGTTACTCAGTCTACTGTTATTAGAAATAGTCCTAAAAAATCAACTTTGATGTTCCCCCGGTCAGTTGGGAAAAGGCTGCCACTCTTTGTTTTTAGTGTCCAGAAACTGTGGCCCAGCTAATTGACCATTGTCTTTTGCAAAGGATTTTGGTTTAGAGAGCACCACAGTAATACGGGTCACCTGGGGATGGGGTAGCTCTCCGCAGTTGACAGAGAGACAGAAATAGCCACAGAGAAAATAGATTGCCTATTTCTCTGGCTTTTAAAATGCTGGGATCCTAAAATGCTAAAGCTACTTTATATGTGAAACGAAGCTTCTTTGAGGTCACAATCTCTTCTGTCCCATGACAGTCTCTGAGGGAGCAAACTATTTTCTGGTTGAACAGAGGAAGCTCCAGGAAGTTACATGGCTGGTTCAGGGTCTCAGAAGTTAAAGCCTGGCCAGGCTTTGAAAGCAGGTCCCCTGGTTCTGGTGGCCCTGGAGGTTTCTTCCCGGAGGCAATGCTAGTTGTCATTTTTTTTGAGACCCTGTCTCAAAAAAAACAAAACAAAAAAAACCCTGTGGGCATGTGGGAGCAGAGCCCTGTCTCCAAGGTGACTTGAACCAAGTGTCCTTGTTGTCCCTGAGGCAGAGATGACAGATTAGGGGTGCTAGGAGTTCTTCCAGATGCTCCAAACTGGCCACCCAGCAGAAGGCCCCGTGGCAAATTCTGCCAAAGAAATGCCAGGTGGGCCAGGGTGTCTGAGGTCCCAGGTGGTTCCTCAGGGCGGCTCCAGCTAGTTCAAGGTGTGCAAAAGGAGAACCACGTGGACAGGGCAAGAGCCTGCCCAACCACCTGAAGGGACAAACAGTGTGAGTTAATATTTATTTATTGAGCACTGAGCATAAGTCAGGAAGCACATTCCATGACTTAACTGGGAGGCAGGCATTGTTATTTACCTGCCTGACAGTTGAGAAAGCTTAGGCACGGAGACTGGATGTGGGCAGAATGGAAAGGGTAACACTCATCCGAATGAAGCAGCCGAGAACAATGGCACTCAGCCCACATCTGAGTCTTCTGGAATCAGCTGGAGGCCCTGCTCTGGGCGGAGGTGGACAGAGTCCCCTTTCCCTACTCTCCCCGAGTCAGGGCTGTCCATCGCTTCTAGCCTGAGTGCCAGGAGCTGAACCAGGAGGCCGGTGGCCAACCTGGTGCACACAGCACATGTTGCCAGAATGAAGCTCCTTCTCCGTGGTCCTAGCCCTTCCTAGCACATGCTGGGTGTGCGTGTCCTGAGACGGTCTACACTCATCCATCTTACAAATGCTGACGGAGAATTGCAGCTTGAGTGAGGAGGAAGGCAGGGGATGTGCAGAGGGGGACCCCATTCCAGCCCTTGGCCTCTGCCCACGAGTGAAGCAGAATTTAGGGACGAGGTGGCTGAGCCCCTACCCACTCTGAGGGCTGGAGTGGGAGCCAACAAGTCAGGGGCTAAGGTTAGAGGAGGGAGGTTTCAGGGAGGTGAGCTGAGTTTGAGGGGTGGGGTCGGCCACCCTCTCTTCACTTCAAGTCGCAAGAAAAGGGGCTTTAAACAAAGTCCCAGAGAGCATCACAATTTCCCTTCCAGTTTGAAAAATTCCGTGGACCGATGCCTCATTCACTACAAAGTCTAGAGAGCCGTCAGGCTGGCTGCATTGGAGGCGGAGCTAAGGAGAGGGCTGGCGGCCCAGGTGATGGACCTCATGTGACTGACCGCAGAGGGAGTCTCCTAGGTCCAGTCAAAGGAGGCTGCCCAGAGAGTGAACTGACAGCCAAGTGGATGCGGAGCTGCCACTAGGCATCGGGGGGCTTGTGGGTCCCCCAAGGCCCACGTGAAATACTCTAGTCAGGGGACCATGGGGTGAGGCTCTGAGGACCCTTGCAGGAGCCCACAGAGAAAGAAGTACAGCTCTCAACCTGTGCAAACCCAGAGTGCAGCTCAGCTAGAGGCTGCCATGTCTGCTGCCCACCCCAGGCCCCACTGCCAGGCCTGAGCTGGGTGGAGAGCAAGAGAGTTGACGATGACATGGGCTTGGATGGGACTGAGCCTGTGTTGTGTGATGTGAAGTGATGAGGACAATTTGTATTTTCCTACCAGGATGTGCTACAGCCGGCCAGGCTAATCTCTCTCTCTCTCTCTCTCTCTCTCTCTCTCTCTCTCTCTCTCTCTCCCTCCCTCCATACCCCTCAGCCAGAACCCAACAAGAAATAGGGCCTAAGGAAGACAGTCTTGGGCAGGGGGCTCCACAGAGCTGGGTTTGGGGGCCTGGGGAGGAGGGACTTGAATTTGGGCCTGGAATGTGGGATCATGAGCAACAGTGGAGGAAGGTGCAGAAGCCCCCGAGGCCCGTGGGCGGAGGCCACTGGGCCGCTTGCCTGGGTTAGGACAAGTGTGAGGGCCCTGGTCAGCTGAAACAGACCACGACTGCCTCCTGAAACACTGACCAGAGGAAACCCGACTGTCATCTGGGCTTGAAATCATCTCTTCCTTTCCCACTTCCAAACTCCCCCCAGCCTCGGTTTCTCCCGAAAGCCCCTATGTGAGGAAACCACAGTGGGAAACACAGGGCTGAAGCGTTCCTAGCGGATGAGACAAGGCCCTCCTGCAGCCTACTCAACCTTCTGTGGGTCGGATGCACTGCACAGAACACTGGGAATGCCAAGGCCATCTCTGGGAACTCTGCAGATGCCTGTATGCTCACAGCAGGTCGGCTGCTGAGGCCATGTGGGACACCCCCCTACACACACATCTTTTTCCTGCCCCTGCTCGTTCCTGCATTCCCCACAGGCCCAGGGTAGGGACCCAGCTGGAAGTGGCTGGGGCCCTGGACAGGCCACTGAGGAAATGGGGTGCAGTGGCAGGGGGCACACATGCCTCACATCTGTATTTTATGAGGGGCACCTACCCAGGTGGTAGCTGCAGTGGGAGGTTCAAAAGACCGAGCAGCTGGTGGGTGCAGTGGAGCAGGGCAGTGTCATGGCTGGTGAACTCTGAGGAGAGCGCACTGAGTATGGGATGCCGGCAGGCAGGTGTGCCAAACAGAGGCCAGCAACTCTCGGGGTTGCTGCTGTGGCGAGTGGGCTCCTCTGCTACTGACTCCGCCAGCCAGACCATCAGGAAGACCAGCCCATCATGGCAGTGAGGTCAGCAAGTTTCCAAGCTGCTGTGTAAGCCGTGGGCATACAGCTGCTCACAGGATCTCATCCCCCAAGGTGCTCACTCTGGAAAGAATGCAAGAGGCTTTGGGACCTGGCTTCATCACTCCCAAGCCTGTGACTCGGGCAAGTCCTTTAGCTTTTCTGGGTCTCACCATTATCATCTGTAGAATGACAGAATAACACTTTTCTCCCAAGGCCACTATGAGGACTTAAAATGCCCCATACGTCCCTGCTTGTGGAGGCTTGCTTGGAGTCAAAGGCAGCCCTGTCCCAGGTAGTGAAAGGAGGATGGGACCGGGCACGGTGGCTCATGCCTGGAATCCCAGCACTTTGGGAGACTGAGACAGGTGGATCACTTGAGCTCAGGACTTTGAAACTAACCAGGGCAACATAATGAGACCCTGTCTCTACAAAAAAAAATACAAAAATTAACCTGGTATGATGGCATGTGTCTTGTAGTCCCAGCTACTCAGGAAGCTAAAACGGGATTGCTTGAGCCCAGGAAGTCAAGGGTAGAGTAAGCCGTGATTACACCTCAGCGTCTCTGCCCTGTAGAGATGGCTTCCTGCCTCTTTCACCTGTGAGGACCAGCATCTCAGCATGGGCTGGTGGCTGTCTTGGACCACACTGGCCCCAAATCCCAGGCCTCCCTTGCATTCCAGCCTGAATGACTGGAGTGAGACCCTGTCTCGAGAAAAAAAAAAAAAACGAAAAACGGAGGAGCTCCCAGGGAGCTGACAGCCATGAAGGGCCTTGCCTCCCTGCCCCACTTCCCAGGGTGCAATGTGGGTGGGGGAGGGAGCTGGGGAGTCCTCCAGGCTCTGTTGAGCCCTTCCCCCAGTGTGATGTCCAGCCTGTCCTGAAGTCGCACAGGGCCAGACACCTGGGCTGCCACTTCCCTTCTGGAAACAGTCCTCCTTGCCTTAGGGGGTCGACAGCTCCAGGCTGTTTCCTTCCCCTGAGAATTTGAAGTTAGAGCTAATTGGTTGGCTCAAAAATAAAAATAAAGAAAGAAAGAAAATAAAGAAAAAATGAAAAAGAAAAAGGGCGTGCAAGTGCAATTGTGCAGGCTGCAAAGGAGGGGCGCATCCCAGGGCTCCGTCTCCATGGGAACTACTGGCACAGGCTGGCTCCTCTGGGCTCCAAAAAGGGAAACTTGGCAAAGGTTTCAGGCACCTGGCTCCTGGGTGGTTTCCCTGGGGAGCAAGCAAATGCCCAGGAGCTGCCAGCCCAAGGGACAGGACAGAGTCCCCACCCCCAGGGATGCCTCGGCCCCTCGCCCCCGTTCTCCACCCTCACAGCCCAGGAGATCTGGTCAGGTCGTCAGCGGCCCTGGATGCATCCGGACCTGGCAGCTGGGAGGGGACCCAGCACAGCTGGAGAGCAAGAGCAGCTCATGCTTTGGGAAGATGCCCACGCTTAGAGTCGGGTGAACGGAGGTAGTTAATAGGAGGTGGTTAATGACAGATGAAAGAGGCGAAAGAACCCCTGAGTGTCACTCTGCTGATGAGGCCCTGGTGGCTGTCACTGTTTCTGGGTTTCGAGCCGAAGACCAGCACCTTGCAGACCAGCACCTCAGGTCAGGACCCTGAGGGAGGACACTTCAGATGCCGGGAGCAGTGGCTCCATGCTGTCCTGGAGGCCTTTTGGGCTGAGATCATGATAAGGTTGGCACCGCCCTGTGTCTGTGAAGAGTAGCAGGCAGAACTGGGGCGGTGGGGGAGTCCTGGCTTGTTCTGGAAAATGCCTCCAGAAATGATCTGTTCCTTTTCCACTTCCCAAGTCCCTGCTGGGCTCTCTGGGTTCAACTGCTGCTCCTCCCCACTTCTTAGGGGCAGAAACTCCTACCCCAAGCTCCCCTCTCCCCAGCCCCAGCTCCCTGCACCCCCCACCCCCAATCTTCCTTGGTGACCAAGAAGGGTGGTGAGGAGCAGAGAAAAAGGCAGATGGCAGGGGAGGCAGAGAAGGAGACACTGGTGACTGGGTAGGTAGGGGAGAAGCCAGGAGAGTCAGACAGAGGCTTGGACAGGCTCTGAGAGGGCAGGATTAGGGGCCATGGAGAGAGAGAGAGTGAGAGTGAGAGAGAGAGGGGGTGGGGGGGAGAGAGAGAGAGAGAGAGAGAGAGAGAGAGAAGGAGGAAAGGAGGGAGGGAGGGAGGGAGGGAGGGAGGAGGAAAAGGGGTGGAGCGGTAGAAGCCGCAGGGGAGGAAGGGGTGGGCAGGAGAAGCCGCTGGTGACAATTACGTCTGGGTCCAAGCAAACATGAGGCAGCTGCCAGTCGGCCTGGGCAGTCTTGTCTGCCTCAGCTGGGAAGTGGGGAGGCTGGCAACAGTTTCCTTCAGCGCCCAGGATGCAGCCGGCTAAGGTAGGTGCTGGGGGACTGGGGTCTTGCTCTGGAGAGGGGCATGGGGGTGGAGGAATGGGGGCTTCTGGGGGTTGCCCTGGACCAGGAAGCTTTTCTCTTTGACCCTCATCGCCCCTTGTTCCACTTTCCTTTGGGAAAAGTGAGCATTGGGGTGTCCTGGCTGGGAGGCTGAACTCCTGGGGCTCCCTTTGGATGGGAGAGGTTTTAAGCGTTTGTGGAGGAGAAGCTGGACAGAGGAGGAGCTTGGGGTCAGCCCACGAATTGTCCTGCTCCGTTAGGTCCCTGGGCCAGGTGCCAGCATGGCTGACACTGAACCTGGAGCCCACAGCCCTCAGGGTTGGGGGAGGGGCGAGCCTGGGAGGGAGTCACTTGTGCTTGGAGGCTGGTCAGGGAACGCATCTTCTAATCAATCACTCAAGTAATGAATGAGTGCCCACTTCCCCTGAAAGGGCTAGGAGCCCCTAACAAGAACACTTCCTACACATTCCCTCTCAGTGGGGCTGTGGGGAGGTCAGAGAGAGAACACAAGGAAAATGCCTGCCACAGAGTTCAAGAAACGGTGGTGGGGAGCGGGGACGGGTAAATAATTAAAGGAGGAAGAAGGAGGGAAGGAGAAATAAGCTGGCCCCTTAGCCTGGAGCTGACTCTCCAAAGGTCTGGCCTGATGCCCTGTGAGTGGCTCACATGCTTGGGATAGTTCAGGACCAGGTCTGACTACTCATAGCAGAACACCCCACACAACAGTGGAGGGAACAAAGTTGGTGGGGGTTTGTCCGTCTTGCAGAAGTCCAGAGGGACATTGGAGGGCTGGCTCAGGCCGCCTGGTCAGCAGCATGTCAGGCTGCTCTGTATCATCCCTGAGGTTACCTTAAGGTACAACATGGCCGCTGGAGCTCCAGCCAGCACACGTGGGCTCAGACTGACATATTAGCAGGAAGGAGAAAGAAAGAAGGACGAAAGGACCCAGGTAAAATCAGGGTCTTGCATGCAGGAGAGAATGGATATGGGGACGGCACCTCAGCATCTCTGCACCGAAGAGATGGCTTCCTGCTTCTTTCATCTGTGAGGAAAGCATGCCAGCATGGGCTGGTGGTTGGCTTGGACCACACTGCCTGCAAACCCCAGGCCTCCCTTGCTCTGTCTGCTCCACTTTCCAGGGTGCCAAGAGGATCAGCTGAGGTGATGGCGTGAAGCCCTTTGAGTATGGCAACATTGCACATGAGAAATGTGCCTTCTCTCCTGTCACCTCAAGTCTCCCCGGCAACCACCACGCAGGCAGGGCAGAGCGGAAAAACTTAGCACCTTGTCCCAGGCTCACACACTACGTGCTCGCTGCTCACACACTATGTGCTCGCTGCACACACACAAGCACACACCACATGCAGCACAGACCAAGTGCATCCTGGGTGTCGGTATGAGCATGGACTGCACAGCCATGGACACATGCAACTGTGTCCATAGGCAGAGGAGCATTGAGCAGTCCTGCATGACCACCCTGCATGGAGATGGGGATTTCCAGAGTCAGGCAGCACATAGATGCGCACACAACCAGCTCTGTCCACCAGCAGAGGACCATCCTCCCTCCCTTGCCTTTCCTCTGCTGCCGTTAACTGCCAAAGTTCACTTTGGAGTGAACTCCACAGGGGTGGAGCTTGGCCACCCCTGTCCCTGCCAGATTGGCAGAGCGAGTGGCCTGAGTCCTGCAGGTACATCTGGTTCTTCCCTTAGCCATTGTGACCCCACACTGCCCTCCACCCTCCCACACTGGCTCCTGGGTCCCAATGGGTGTCATTGTCCTTATATCTGCTAGTGGCCTTCCTGTGACTGGCCTGGCCAGGGAGGGGAGTGGAACCCACACCTTCTGGTGCTAGGCCCAGCCCAGGAGAAGCCACCACCAGGTTTCTCAACAAGATCAACGGGAGATTGTGAAAAATCATCTTCCTCTCTTGTGGCAGCAGGGACTCTCGTCAAAGCTCAGGCTGGGAGGTGTTCTGACTCCTGAGGGTCATGGTCAGTGGCTGCCCCCCAGTAATGCCTCATGACTGCCTGGCTCCTCAGCCTTCTCCCCACACTCCCCAGCCATTCGCAGATTCTCACTCCTGGGGGAAGGTGGGGAGGCACTGCCATTTCCACTGTAGACGCTGAGGCTCAGAGAAGGGGAACAGCCTGTCGAAGCTCCAGAACTCCATGAGCTTGATCCCATGAGCTCTTAGGAGAAAGGAGTGGCGGACCCACAGGCTCTGCGGCAGGGGTGTCTTCACAGCCCAGCCTATGCACTGGGAGCCCCTTCTGCCCTGCCTCCAGCCTTCTTGCAGGTCACTGTGCCAGATGGGGCCCTAATTTGCTCCTACATTTCAAAAGACCCCAGGCTGCACTGGGAAGAAAAGGGCTCTGCCTCTGTTCTCCAGGTAGAGCCCAGGAGAAGGGCAGGGCTGAGGGGCAGGAGACTTAGGGTGCCAACCCCCATCCAGGCCATTGTCTCCCGCATTATCTCCCTGGACCCTCAGAGAGCCCACAAGGCAGCTGTTAGTATCGTCCCCACTTTACAGATAGGAAAACAGAGGCCTGCCCCAGACTGCAGGCTACAAAGGTTTGTGGCTGAGATTTGAACCCTGCTCTGTCTTACTCCAAAGCACAGTTTCTTAGGGCTTGGGGGTTGTGGGAAGATGCAGGAGGAGAAGGGCCTGCCTTTAACCAGATGGCAGAGGAGGGGTGCATCCCAGCCACGGGCCTGACTCCCTGGGCTTGTAGTCTGTTGTGCCCTCTGAGCCCTCTAGTGAGTGCACACAAGCCAGACCCCACCTGGTCACATCTCCTGCATTAGCCACGTGACCTTGAGCTAGCTGCTTCCCATTTTTGGACTGTGGATGCAGAGTTAGGAAGGAAAGGACCCCAGTACTTTGAATTCAGGTTGCCCTGTCTTATCAAAACCTTCTGCGAGAGGCAGAGAACTGTTTTGCTGACTCAGCAGCAGGGGCTTAGAGCCCACCTGCCCCGCCCAGCGCACACCCAGGCATCCCAGGGACTTCTAGGAGCAGCCATTGTGGCTTCTGAGGGGAAGAAGGTACTCTCAGTTTCCGAAGTGAAACAGAAGAGGGGAGAGAAGTTAGCATGTCTTCCTGACCTGGTGCCCAGGGTGGGCAGGAGCCTGAGAAAGAGGGGAGGGCACAGCATGGAGCACAGTGTGGGGTGAGTCCCCTTGCAGCTCCCTGCCCAGGGCCTCCGGCCCCAGCTGACTAATGTTCCCCTTGAGCAAGTGCATCTGTCATCTGTGATCAGCCCACACCCCGGAAGGCCACAGAACAGCCCTGTGGCAGGGAGAAGAAGCAAGGGGACTCGCAGAGTTGGAGAGGGAGCAGCCGAGCTGAGACAGGAGGGCAACGTGGGTGGGGGTTGTCCCATACTAGGGTTGGCCCAGCCTCCCCCTCCCATCTGCCACCTTAGCTCTATGCCCCGTGTGCCCTCTCCATCAATCTGGCTGGGCCTGAGTCAGGATCAGCCAGGAAAAGCAGCTGCTGGTCTTTTCTGGCCTGGCGTCTCCACCTGCCCAACACCCTCAGCCTTCCCCAACCTTCAGCATATGGACAGCAGGCAGATGCCAGGGCAGGCCAGCGGCAGATCCCAGTCCCCTGCCGCTGGTGCCACACGCCCCTGTGCCCAGCTCTCTCAAGGTGGGTACTCTGGGCAGTGCCCGAGAGAATCAAACTCTAGCCCCATCTGTGCCCCACTGACTAAGGGCAGGCCCCTCCCCTCCCTGGGCCTCAGTCTTCCCATCTGGGTCGGAGAGAGGCTCACAGCATTTGCCAGGCCCTGTAATGAGCAGTGCAGGGCTGGGAGGGCACGGGCCTGGCTGACTCAGGCCAAGGCCACCTCCAGCAGTGCCACCACACGTGCACACTAATGTCCGTGGTTCTTGTACAGAACCCAGATCCTCACCATGCAGGACTGAAGGACCCTGGGCAGGAGATGGGCGTGGCCAGGAGGTGTAATGGTTGTGAGCCCTGGCTTTGAACCAGCAGACCTGGGCTCAGTCCTGGCCCTGTCACGCACTGGCTGTGTGTCCTCTGACAGGTTACTTAGCTCCTCTGTGCCATTGTCTCCTCATTTTCTTGGGGGAAGTCTGAATATCACAGACCCCTCCAGATAAATGCGATCCTATACCAATCAGCTTGGCCTGGCCCCTGGCACAGAGTGAGGCCTCCACTCATGAAGGGAATACCTATGTCATTCCTTCTGGCTTCTGGGAGAGCCTGGGAGGGCCACCAAGAGGCAATGTAGCCATGGGCAACTCAAGTCCACCCCTGGGTTAATATGACACTCTCACTGCGAGGCAGCGTGGGGAGCTTGTCCTTGTCAAGGTGGCAGCCATCAGAGCAGGGTGGGACAGCTCAGTTCTCCCCTCTTCTGCTCTAGTGCTGTGAGAGGGATGGGGCTCAGGGCTGTATGTGCATGTGTGTGTGCATATATAGGTGTGTTTGTAGGCATGTGTACGTGTGTACGTGTGTGTGTGTGTGTGTGTGTGTGTGTGTGTGTGTACATATGTGCATGCATCTTCAGGGACTCATGACAACTTCGTCTCCCCCGACAAGGCGAGCTGCCTGGCCCATGTCTGTCTGTGCCCAGGGGTGAGTGGAGAATCCAGGCTCCCCAAAGCTTCCCCATTCCATAGCCTGGGGGCCTGCACGACACAACGCCCACCACTGCTTCCTGCCATCTGCCTCAAGCAATGGAAATAGAGCCAGTGACAGCAAGCAGTGCTGGGTGGGCCAGTCTGTGCTGCAGCAGCCATGGACAGGGTGGGGGCTGGGGAGCCCCTCATCTGAGCAGCCTGCCTGTTCCCTGCTGGCCCTGACCTCAGGGAAGCCCTACCAGAAAGGAAGGGGGTGAAAATCAGGATATCCCCTTTCCTTTCCAGGCAAGGCCAAGAACTTTCTATCTGGAGGGACAGACACTCTAAACAAACTTCTCCAAGCTGCATTTTCAGATCTACCAAGGAGATGTGTAAGAACAGAGTAGCCCAGGCTTCTCTGCATCAAACAATCCAGCCCCTGGGCAGGCAGCTGGTGGGAACCTCCCCAGGTGATTCCGGTGTGCAGCAGCTGAGAGTGGTATGCTGGGCCTCCCTGCTGGGCATGCTGGGCTGTGGGCTTGGACAGCCAGACCCTCCCTGGGATCAGAAGGGCGAGGAACATTGGCCCTCCCCTGCTGGGGCTTTGTCACCTCGCCTTCCCCCTAACCCTATGAGGTCATATTGTTACTTTCATTTTGCAGATGAGGAAACTGAGGCTTGGAACTATCAGGTTCTCTGTCAGGGTCACCGATCTGGGAAGTGAGGGTGCAGGATTCATGTAACTGGATGGCCACAGACCCTTCCCATGTCCTCGGCTACTGGAAATCTTATCCACTGCCTGCGATCTCCTACTCTGCCCCTAACTAGCCGTGTTCTCTGAGCCTGCACCCAGTGGTCCTGGTGGCACATATGAAGCCACTCACTGCTGTTTTATATCCGTTAAGTCTGTAGACATCTGGGAGGAGTCAGCCGTGCGTCTTGCCCATGCACGTGCTCCTAGAGCGCCACCTCTAGGGAAAGGAGCCTGGATGCTTTAATGAAGGTTTTCCAGGATCCTGCCTGGCCTCTGGCCATGCACCCCACCTTCTCACAGGCCACCATGTGCCCCCTGGTCACCTCTGCCACATGAGCTCTGTACGGCTCTCTGGGAGTTTCTCTGGAGCACCATTGCTGAGACCATGGAGACTGAACTAGCAGCTCAAGGGTTTCACCTTGGCACACCCCTGACAGTCTGACTCCATCTTCTCAACCAGATGGGCCCCCACAAGATGAAGCTGTGTCCTCCTGGGAATGGAGCAGGGAGTGGGATGCTGCCCTGTGGGCCACCTGGCCTCTCAGGGACCCACAGTGCGGGAAGTCATGAGGTGGAATGTCTGGTCCACATCCTGGAGGTTTGTTCCAAGCCCTTAGCCTCTGTCTGTGGTGTGGAGACTCTCAGGTAGAGATGGGACTGTGTTCACCATGAGAGGAAGGTATGGGGACAGCTACTATCCCCGCAGTGACAGTTTTCTCAGGCACTGGGAAGCCACCACCCCTCCCTCACTGCCTATATCTAGAGTAGGTCCTAAGTATCTGTCTCCATAATATCCCCAGCACACAGCCATGACCTCCACCTGGCTCAGCCTTCCCGGCCTCTCCTGGGCCTGGGCACCCCTCACCTCCCCCAGGTGGCCCCTTGTCTCATCGTCCCCCAACCAGACCTGGACAATCCACCAGGCCACCCTTCTTGGGCAGCTCTGGTTCCAGCCGAACTTGGGTGGCAGAGAGGGGCTGGGGCAGCTGGGCCCTGCCAGGAGGACACTGTCCCAAGCCAGCCAGCTGGCAGGTCTGAGAACCATCCGGACCGGTGCTGTCCAATGGAGACATGATGAAGCCACAGATGCCACTTAAAATGTTTCAGTAGGCACAGAAAAGAAAGAAAAAAAGTTAAATTATTTTAACCATATGTTTTATTAAACCCAATGTAAATGATTATCATTTCAACCTATAATTGATAAAAAGCATTTTTAATGAGCTATTTGATAGTCTAGTAAGTAAATGTTTGGACCTGTGTGTGTTTACACGGAGGGCGTGTCTCAATGTGGACCAGCCACGGGTCAGTATCAGCAGCCTGTGTGGTGAGAGGTCACCGTCAATCAGACTTGGGGTGTTGCCTGGCTGAGTGGAGCAGGCCACCAGCCTCAGTCACAGAGAGAAACACATTTCTTGCCTTTACTGTTTTGCTGCATCTGTTGTGACCTGTGCTATTGTTTCTTATTCTTTTTCTTTAAATTAACTCATGTGTTGAATTTTAATGAATCCATTTAAAAGGGAATCTTTAAATCGGCACCATAAGTGGGAAGCCAGGAGCAGAAGTGGAAGGTAACCACCACAGTGCCTTGAACTAAGGCAGCAGCGATAAACTCCCACCTACTGTCTGTGGCTTGTTGAGGCTCTGAGCCGAGGCCATGCCCTCCCTTTGAAAGGGGACAGCAGTGGGGAGTTGGAGAGTCCACTGGCCCTGAGTCTGAGTTATCTCCTGCACCTTGCAGGTGCAGCCCCCGAGTGCCAGAGACCTCAGGCCAAAGTCCCCAGGACACAGCTGACCCAGAACAGGTTGGGTTTATCCCTGTGGAATAGCAGGAGAACACACACCCCAGGGACCCTGGCAAGCTGCATGAGAGGGGGTGAGCTAGAAATCATTATAGGATTTGGGGTTCTGTTGGGTGCTTTGGGTAATTTTGAGGTTCTAAGGAACCTCAGAAAGTTGGTGTAAGCATTAAATAAGATAATCCCTCCAAACACCAAACTCAGCACCAGCACACAGCAGTTGCATCATCTACGCTCTCCCTTTTCTGTCTGTCCCCTGGCTCTGCACAGGCCAGGAGGACTTAGAAGGAAGTTAAGACCTGGTCCTGGCCTGCCTGGCTGGGCAGCAGCTACAAACTGCGGCCCCCAGCAGACTAGCAGAGAATGGCCTGGCCACCAGCAGCCTCTACCCCTGAGGGAAACTTGTGACCTTCAAGAAGGCTGCAGGTCCCCAGGGCCAGCTTAGGGCTGTTTCTGGGACACAGCCCTGAACACCCACACTGTCAGGTGTGCCACTGGGGACTCTGTGTGACTCCAGGGCCCAGATCTTCTGGCTTCCCTGGTCTCTGCCACCTACTTCTGACCATGCCCTGAAGCTGGTGGACAATGACAGTTCTGTTACTCACTAAAATGAGGCCGGCATCGAGCAGGAGTGGGAGGAGAGTCCCAGGTGAATTCTGAAGAGCGCAGGGGACTTTTGATCATTCATGAGTGTTTATCAGGGGCCTTGTGCATGCTTGCATTTCTTACATCCTCTTTTTGGATGTGTGAGAGTATTTTTTGATGGAAATCTTTACTGAGCTCATTGTAGATTCCCATGCAGTTTTAGGAACTCGCACAGAGGGCCCTTGTACCCCTTACCCAGTTTCCCCAATGACAGCATCTTGCAAAATTCCAGCACAATAGCGCAATTAGAGTGTCTACAATGATGCACGCCACCAGTCCTACTCTGATTTCCCAGTTCACACACGCTCATTTCCTTGTGCTTTTTGTGCTACAATTTCATCACACGTGTAGGTTCAGGTACCCAACAGCACCGTCAGGATGTGAAACAGCTCCGTCCCCATGAGGCCCCTCCTGCTGCCTGTGAGAGCCACACCCTCTCCTTCACACCTGCCTCACCCCATCCTTAAGCCCAGCGCTCTAATCTGTTCTCCATTTCTAAAGGAACGTTGTCATTTTACAATGTTATATAAATAGAATCACACAGAATGTGACCTTTTGGGTTGGCTTTTTTCATTCAGCACAGTTCTCTGGAGGTTCACATAGGTGTGGTATGTGCCAATAGTTTGTTTTACTTGTTCAGAATTCCATGATATGGACACACCGTGGTTTGTTTAATCATTCACCCATTGAAGGGCATTGGGATGCTTCCAGTTTGGGGCCATTCCAGATAAAGCTGCCATGAACACTTGTGTACAGGTTTCACTCGAACATAACTTTTCATTTCTCTGGGATAAAAGTCCAAGAGCGCAGTGGCCAGGCTCTATGGCAGCACATGCTTAGTTTTCACAGGAAGCTGCCAAACCATTCTCCAGAGTGGCTAAAGCATTTTCCCTTTCCACTGGCAATGGAGGGGTGATTTCGTTTCTCCACATCCTCGCCAGCGTCATTGTCTTTGGTCCTCACTGTTTGGACAGGCACGTAGTGCTGTCTCCCGATGGTCTTCCTCTGTTTCCAGAATGGCTAATGACAGTGGACATCTCTTCTGCCTCCTTTGCCATCCACGCGTCCTCTCTGGTGAAATGTCTGTGCGTGTCCTTCATACTTTCTACCCCGACAGTTTGCTCTTTTACTGTTGAGTTTTGAGAGTGCAGATCTCTTGGGTTCCAGACTGTGTCGTTAGGAAAAACAGGTCACATGAGGATCAGGTTCCACTCTCGCAGAGCTGATGCGCTAAAGGGGAGAGAGAAAATGTACCGGACAACACAAAAATCGGATCAGTTCCCAAGGGCTGGGTGCTGTGAGGAAGTGCTGAGATGAAGGTGCAGGGGGAGGGCAGCCTGACGAGTCAGGTAAGGGCTCTTCTAGAACCTGAGCCCTGGGTGAGGCCTTGAACACCCGGGGCAGAAGCATCCAGTGCTGGGGCAACAGGTACCAAGGTGCTGGTGTGAAAGCAGACTTGGCATTTGAGGGACATGATGGGGCTGCCAGGGCCAGGCAGGTAGGCACTGCGGCTCCCAGTAGGGTGGGGGCATTTAATTCCTGTCCCATCTCATCACTGCTCCAGCTCCCCTCCCAGCACCAGGGCACCGTGGGGTGTGGGCCATGGGGCCACGTCTCAGGGAGCCCTCCCTTCCCTGCGGTGAGCCTCCTAAGCCAGCAGGAGGGTGCCTGGGCTGCTATTTAACATTCCCTGACAGTTCAGTCGGACCCTCTCCCAGACAGACAAGTATCAAATATTCATGAGAATGACCGAGGCCACTCTCCCTCCTCGCGCTTCCCCCACAGCCTGATGGGCCCAGGCCACAGGCCTCGGAGCAACGGAGCCTCGTAGTCTCTGGCAGTGGGCAGTTGTGTGGCGCTGCCCAAGCTGCTGGGGGCTCCCTGCCTTCCTCTCCTCTGCCCTCCCTGGCCTTCCCCTCTCCTCCCCTCCTGAGAACCCACTGCCTGCCTCACAAAGGAGGGTGGCTGTCTCCGGCCTGCCTCGTAAAGGGTAGTGACCATAATGGGCCTGCCTCATGGGGCTCACAGGTGGGATTCTGGCCCCTCAGCCAGATGGAGGAGACTGGTCTGGAGCCACGGCCGCCACCCATACTCTCTCCACAGGGAGAAAAGACGCACTGGGTCCCCTAGCCTGGGAGAGCATCACAGCACTCCTCAACTTTTGGAAGGCTACTTTTGGAAGGCAGCTGACATGCCTAGGGGGCTTCAGAACACACCCAGCTCCAGAAACCACCCCAGGGACCCGGCCCAAGAAACAGCCTCAGCAAAACCCATGGCCAAGCCGATGTGAACTTTGGAATCAGAAGACCATGTATAGTGTGATCCTGGCATATCCCAAAACTTCTCAGGGACTTAGTTTTCTCATCTGCCAAATGAGGATTGGGTTACCCACCACATGGGGTTGTCGTGACAAGATGACTTTTAGCTCAGCGTAGACATTCACTCAGGGGGTGTTCCCCCTGCCCTGTGGGTTCATCCAGCCTTCTTGAGAGGACAGAGCACTGTGAGCTAGATCCCAGGACACCCACGGGATCTCCCACATGACCTGGGCTTGGGGCTTCAAGACAGAATCCCTGTGACTAACCCTGAGCCCCAAGCAGCAGCCCTGCCAGACAGGCCAGCACGGTTCTGAGATGGGATGCAGATAGGGCTGGGGAGTCCCAGGCAAGAGCTCCCACCAGCGGCTCCGAGGCTGCCTCAGTTTCTCCAGATGTCTTCCACTCACCCCCATGCAGAGCCCACAGCAAAGAATTTGTGATGTAATGAAGCACCCTCTGCCCCTCTCTCTCCTACTCCCCTCTCTAGCCCTTGCACCGGAGAGCCCAATGAGCACAGGGGCTGCCTTGAGGGGCTGCATCTGCAGAATCCTCTCGACGGTGCGTCCATCTGTTATACTGCTCAGAATAAGATCTCGAATAATGGAGAGGGTGTGTCTCTGACCCAGCCTGACAGGACATGTGTGCGCATATATATGTGTGCATTGTGCATGTGTGCATATGAAGATGTGTACACATGAGTGTGCATAGCATGTGCATGTAGGGAGCTTCCCTCAGCACCCCAGGCACCCGTCCAACCCAGCTCCCTGCCTCTTTCTGCTCCATCAGCATGGTCAGTGCCTCTTATTGCTGCTGCAACTCTGGGCACCACTGAGCCCCCTCATTGCCGGATGAGCCTTGGAGAAGGAAGGGGACATGAAGGGGTGTTGCCAAGGATGTGTCAGTGGCAGGGGGATGACTGTGAACTGGGGGACTGGTAATTGGGACCTAGGTGGGGAAGGCCCAAAAGCCAAGATAAGGGAACTGGACATCTCCCTGCCTAGGGGACCACTTCACCAAACACTGACTAGCCGACTGTCCATCCTGGGCATGGATGGGCCTCAGGATGAGCCAGTGAAGTACCCAGGGAGTCCTCCCCCAACTGGAGCCTGCAGTGTGCAGAGACCAGTGGGGGTCCCAGGCCCGCGCATTGGGAGAGGGGCTGGGCTTTGCAGCAGCAACAGAGACCCCTTGCTGGGCTCTGTGTGGGCAGGCGTGGCCAGGGCTGGTGTCCGGCGCTGCTCTCCCATCTCGTCTGCTTTCCAGGACTGGCTGTCTGTGCTTCCCTGCAGGCTGTGACTGACCTGGGCTCCCTGTTGTCAACTTTTCCAGTTCACATCAGCCTGGGTCAGTCTCTAGCCCTTGCACTTGAGAGCCCAACTAGCACAGGGCTGCCTTGAGGGGCTGCATCTGCAGAAGCCGCTCAACAGCGCGTCCATCTGTTATTTACTTTGAACAACCAAATACTTTTCAGGACTGTCCAAAGGTAGCACACACGAGACCCCATGGACTGGGAAGGGCATTGCCAACCCACCCCCCTGAGTGGCCCTCTTCGCTGGCAACAAACCCAACTGCTCAGAATCCATATGGATGCAGGGGTGCTGCCTCTGCCACAGCTGGAGCTCAGGCAGTGTGTCACGGACAGAATGGCCATGAGGGCCGTTAGTGGGCTATGATCCAATTAACCAGTTCACATGTGTCCCCCTGCCACACAGAGCAGGAGGGCACAGCACAAAGCAGAAAACTAGACCCAGTAGGGGCGCAGCGGGGATGCCGTGGCTGGCTGCAGCCTTCCATGCACCTGCCACCTCAGTGGCCAACCTGCTGCCAGCATGGGAACTGAGCATGGTGGGCAGTTTGGATGTCAGGATTGGGGACCCCAAAATCTTGCTGCCCCGGGGCCTCCACTGTGATCCCAGATTGTTCTTTTCCTAGACACACTGACTCAGGTTCATGGCCCACAGCCTCTTTTTTTTTTTTTTTAGACAGAGTCTTGCTCTGTTACCCAGCCTGGAGTGCAATGGCACGATCTCGGCTCACTGTAACCTCTGTCTCCCAGACTGAAGCAATTCTCCTGCCTCAGCCTCTTGGGTAGCTGGGATTACAGGCCACCATGCCCAGCTAACTTTTGCATTTTTAGTAGAGATAGGGTTTCACCATGTTGGCCAGGCCGGTCTCGAACTCCTGACCTCAGGTAATCTGCCCACTTCGGCCTCCCAAAGTGCTGGGATTATAGGAATGAGCCATCATGCCCGGCTGGCCCACTGCTTCTTAATGACCACCCATGGCTCGCCTCTCCTGAGACTCCTCCACCCATCACTGGAGCCATTTCTTCAGATCACCGTCTGTCTCAGTCAGGGGGTTCCATCAGTGCAACCCTTCTGGGGTGACCATTCAGCCTTTCATTCATTCTCAGCTTGCCTCAGCATGAAAACTCAGGCAGAGCAGGGGCCCTGCTGGGGGAGTGAGGGAGCCCAGCTGGTTGTCTGACCCTGTACGGATCCTCTCCCGTCTCTGGGCTTCAGGCAGGTGAGAAATTGGGACCGTGATTTCTAAGGGGCCATCCAGCTCTGACAACCTGGCCTGTTCCAAGGTGGGGAATCCAGTGAGCAAGTCTGGGCTCACTCCTGACATCCCCTCTATACACCCCTATCCTCCCCTCTTCCAGGGGTCCCATCTTACACCACAGCCAGGGTGCAGAGTGAAAGAAACTGCCCCCACCTAGGTCTGGCAGGAATGGCCAGGATGAGGAGCACTAGGCATCCAGCCCTGGAAGGCGAGTCCCGGGCAGTGTTAGGACTGGCCTTACCTAGGATATCAGGGCAGCTCAGGATCATCCCGCAGTGCAGGGGCTCAGGGCTACTCTGCCTGTTCCTACTGCAGGAGGAGACAAAGGCGTCGGATGGCAGCCTCCTGGGGGATCCCGGGCACACACCACTTAGCAAGAAGGAGGGTGTCAAGTGGCAGAGGCCAAGGCTCAGCCGCCAGGCCTTGATGAGATGCTGCCTGATCAAGTGGATCCTGTCCAGCACAGCCCCACAGGGCTCAGGTAGGGGCCGGGGTGGGCTGAGGTTGAGGGTGGGGTTGGGGAGGTGTGTTCTGAGCACTGTCTTTTCTGAGGGCTTCAAGGCCAGCCTGTGACCCCAGCCTGGGCCACACCACCCCTTTCTCTGTTGGAGCTGTTTTCATTCATTCACACCCTTCCCCATTCATTAAGTGCTTACTTCATGCAAGCCACTGAGCTCCCAGTGGGACCCACAGAACATGGAGACAGAGAGCTGGGACCATACTGGGGTTTTCCAGTTAGCTAGGAGGATGGAGCCAGGCTGCAGAGTCCAACAGACCAGGCCAGGCTCGACTCTGCCCACTGCTCACTTCCTGAGTAAGCCGGAGCGCCTCATTCATCCTTTCTAAGTCCTCCATGAGACGACAGGCTGGTACTTGTCCACAGAGCACATTTGAAGATGGGCAATAATGTGTACAGTGCCTGGTGATCAGGAGACTCTGACCTCACCCCAAGGATTGGTGCTGTCTGTTTGTCTTGGGTTACATTCTGGGGTGTTAGTGAGAGAACTGGCAGAAATCACTGCCCTGGGCTTGCTGTGGGTAATATTTGGTGTTTGTTGAGTATGACTGAGCTGAACAAACAATGGCAGTCTTATGTGGCCCCCATGATCTCACACACATATGCAGACACCTCTCACTTATACCTTTGCACACATGCCAGTGCATCTATCACACATGAGCTTGCACACTCACTATGCACACACAGGTAGGCATAACATACAGGTTTTCATGCTCTCACATACACACAACATGCATACTCATGGGATCACATGTGTGAGTATGGCATGTATGTGAGTTTGCCTCTGACTTTAAGGAAAAGGTGTAGTCTTGCCCTTGACAAGATAGCAAACAAGCTGCATCTCTAGCTGTGTGATTTCCAGGGAGCCTCGGTCCCCTGGCCAGGAGAATGGGCACAATCAGGGCCCCAGCCTCCCAAGCTTGATGGGGGTCATTCGTGGAAGGGATCATCGGGGGGTTTGGGCAAACAGCAGGCACAGTGGCTGGCAGCCATGGCCATGCGTGTGCACAAAGGGAATGACTGCTATGCACCAGGTCCCCGTTCTTTACCCACAAACGCCACTCCAGGGTGCTCCCAGCAGGATTCCAGCCCCCTCCCTTTTGGCTCCACCACCTCTGCTTTTCCACAGAGCCCCTACCCATCTGTGATGCTGTCACCTTGGCTGACACTTGTCCCCAACCCCTTCCCATGGAAGCGCTAGCACTTATGAATGCCTGGGTGAAATTCACTTGCACCTTCAACTTCTCAGGGGTGGGGTGGTAGGTTTTGCAAGTGGCAGAAATATGATGAGGTCGCTAAAAGTACATGCACATAGCATGACCGGGAAGGGCCACCTTCAGTGCACTGTTTGTTTTGCATCAGGATGAAAATGCATCTGTTTTCCCTTAGGGTAGGAGCGAGGGCACAGTGGTCATTGCGTGGGCTGGGGGCTCAGGTCCACTCTGGTGAGTGCAGCTTTGTGTTGCTCGAGACTCAGATTTCCTCCACCTCAGTCTTCCAGGGTTTTCTTGGTGGTGACGAGTAATTAAGGAGGTGCTGCAGAGGAACCCTGTGTTCCTCAGGTCTTGCTGATGCTCAGCCTCATCCTCCCATCTCTCTCTGGTAGGCAGAGGTGGCTCAGGACGGGCTGGGGCTGATGTGCACCCTTCACTGAGGCTTTCTGCACACCCGTGACAGCAGCAACTGTGATGAATGGGGTGGTCCAGGAGAAAGGCGAGCCAGAGGCCAGCATGGCATGCTCAAGCCAGGGCGAGGGGACCACCCCTGCACAGCCCACCCCTGTGTGCCCTACCCCAGCTCAGGGCAGCTTCCTTGAGGGCAGGGCCTTTCCACTCCCAACTATCAGGACACATTTGCTGAACAACTTGTCGAAGGCACACAGGACAGCGAGGGCCATGGCAGGGCCATGTCACCAACGATGGGTTTGTTCCCTGGGGTGTTCATGTTTGCTGGACCTTGTGCAGGCACTGGGAGCGGATGTGAGCCTATTTGGTTGCAAGAGGGAGGCAGTGTAGGCTCATCACTCAGTTTTACCGAAGCGTCCACAGCGGCAGCTCAGAGAGGTCAAATGACTCAGCAGATGGCACTAGGGTTTGGGGTGGGGGAGGGCTAGGGTCCAGAGCTCCACAGTGCCCACCCTGACGAGCATCTTTGGTGGGAGCTGAGGGAGGAGGGAGCCTAGGGACCTCAGGGACAGAGAAGCCGGGACTCCAATGTGCCCTTTGTCTCCGTTGGGCATCGCTTCCGGATGGCCTCTCTTCAGTCCAGCCACGTCTCATGTGTGTCCCGCAAAGAGGCCAGGCTGGTGTGGTCACACTGAGAGCTTTGTGCATGTGTGAAATGCTATGCCATGTGCAGATGAGGCACCCCGGCTCTTTGGGAGCCTTCACAGACTCTTGGTGCAAAGAACAATGGGGCCCATTCAGTGCACCCCGACTGTGTGCTCTTCAAGGCCCAGCAGTATCCTGAGCCCTGGGGGCCTATGGGAGCAGGTGGCCCAGACACTGTGCCCTTGTACTGGGGTTTTTCCATGTCCTGAGCCCTGGGGACCTATGGGAGCAGGCGGCCCAGACACTGTGCCCTTGTACTGGGGTTTTTCCATTCAGCAGAATCAGGGCCAGAGACACATGTCCGGAACAGCTGGAAGTGAAAGCCAAGGCCCAGCTCCGGAGTCCCCAAGGCTTGGGCGAGGTAGAATGTCAGCCAGGAGTGGGCAGGACGCAGCGGCCTGGAGACACTGTGCAAGGGTTGGAGCATCTGTGGCTGGGTGCTGGGTGGCCCCAGAATGGAGTCAGGAGGTGAGCAGCAGCGGGACCTCTAAGAGGGGAGCCAGGAGACTCCGAGCACAGGCAGCCTGGCCCCACCCTACCCCGGAGAAGTGCCCCATCCTGAGCTCCTTGGACCCTCCTCCATGACCCAGAAGCTGGGACTCTGGCCTGCCACCCACCCACCCATGTCTCCCCTGCATCTAAAGTCCCTCCCTGCAGGACACCTTTCCAGTGGCATGGCCAGTGCCACAACTGGACAGACCTGTTTTTCAAGTCTGGTGCCCACAAGGTCTGTGGGACTTGGGTTTCTTCAACTGGAATAATAATGTCCCCACAGATAACCTGGGGGCCCGGCTGCAGACAACTGAAGCCAGGTGAGCTGGTTTAAGCGGAACATCTGCTCCAGGCCTCAGGAAGTTCACGGAAACTCTGGAGGACCAGAAATGGAGGCCTGGATGGGACAAAGCCAGGGTCCCTACTGCCTCGGGAGATGCCTGGTATCCCGGACCACTCCGGCAGTAATGCTTCTGTGTGACATGGCGCAGCCATTCCTCACACATGCACACACACATTCATACACACACACAGAGCACACACACACGCACACACACATGCACATACACAGGAGTACACACACCCATGCACACACACACACGCAGCCACACACTCCCCCCCCCACACACGAGCACACGCACTTACCATGCACACACACATGCACATGCCCCTCCCCCAAAGGGAAGGCCCGCATCCTCCTTAGCCGCTGTTCATTCTCCCGGGGTTCCATGGCAACTCCACGTAAAATCATAAAGTCGCCACCGCCAGTGCTCCTGGTAAAAAGGGGTAGCAGAATGCTATGGGAACAAAAGGTGAATTAACTTGTCTCTAATACTTAAAGATAGAAAAACATGTGGTCACAGAATTTTTGTATATTTGAAGATACAAGATACAAACAACATCGTGAGGCATCAAGATACATGGCATCAAAGTGAGACATCAGATTAGTGCAAACTTTCAAGGGTTTCCAAAAATTAACCCTTTTCCATGGCGGTTGTAGTACAACATCTGTGGCCATCTTTAATCCACCATAAGAGCCTTAGCTGAGTCTTTGGTGGAATAATCCAAACCCCCATTCCTGAGGGATCTGAGTCCTTGGTGGTCCTGCCTCAGTGGGGTTGCTAGAGGCCCCCATGGACTTTAACCTGTAATTGGCGGCAGCATTACTAGGCTCCCTGGAGAATTCACTGGCTCTGAGGTAGAGTCCTCACTGTTCCCCTTGATAATAGGGTCATTCAACGGCCCTTAACGCCAGTTGGTCTGAGTGGTGTGAGGGGTCCAGCATGGCCAGGAGGCTGTCCCAGCTTCCAGTTCAGAGGCCTCCTGCTGCCTCCCGCTGGGGACCCTAAAGCCTCTAATCCAGAGCCCAGGATATTGGAAAGGAGCAGCAGAGGTGCAGTGAGTGGGTGCTGGATGAGGGAGGGGCCTCCATGTGCCTCCCGGCTCCAGGCTTTTTCTTCTGGCCAAGGGAGAGGCAGACACATCCAGCAGCATCACTGGCGCCTAACAGGGCAGCCCTGGAACCCTCAGCTGGCACCGGAATCCATCTTCAGCAGGTCTCACCACTGTTCTGTGAGGTCAGCTGCCTCTGAGGGTGGGCACAGGAACCTATGAGCCCTGGCCTTTGGCCACACTGCTCCGAGGTGAAATGAGACTGTTATTCAGGAACTATGGTGTGGGGGAACCATGAAGGGGGGTGCTGGCAGCACCAGGGCAGGCCAGAGGGAAGGTCACACAGAGTGACTGTCCCTCCATGAGGTCAGCGGGAGCCCTGGAGTGAGCAGGGATGCAGAGTGGCTGACCTGCCACCTGGTGGCTGGCTCGGTGTTGAACCGCAGCTGCAGCCTGATCAGCCCAGGGAGAAGTTCTTTTATTGAGCCCATGGTGTTTCGTTCACCAGCAAATGCCAGAGGGGCCAGGAACAGAGGCTGTGAGGTGCACAGTGGGGATCACTGGCCCACCCGATCAGCCAGTGCCTCCTCGGCCTCCCCCTTGGAGGGCACTTGGGAAGCACTTGCTGTCCCACACTCTGGGTGGTTCTTCCCCAGGCCCCCAGACCTTACTCCCCTCATCCTGCCCCTCTACCTCCCTGACCCTGAACAAATCGTTAACTACCCATGAATCAACGTAAGCCTGTGCCTC